TTAATCTGCATCACAGGCAAAGGGGCCTCGGCTGTTTGGCCAGCAACAAGCTGGGAAGCAAACATGCATATCACTGATGCAAGAACCCTGGGTAATCCGGGGTTGCGTCAAGGGCTTGGCGGCTTGCGGTAAGCTCTTTAGGGCCCCATCAGTGGATCGGCCTAGGGCCTGCGTGGCCGTCAAGGGTATGGAAACCCAGCTAATACCTCACCTGTGTTCCAGGGACGTTGCGGCTGTAGAAGTGCATTTTACTGCTGACTCCGGTGACAGGAGGAAAATGGTCGCTTGCTCGGCTTACTTCTCGCATGACGAGGGGAAGGCGGTGCCGCCTGCACCGGTGATAAAACTGGCAGAATACTGCCAAGAGAAGCGGCTTCCCCTGATCATGGGATGTAACGCTAACGCGCATCACACTGTGTAGGGAAGCTCGGACACCAATGAAAGAGGAAGGAAAGTGTTGGAGTTCCTAGCATCCACGGATCTGGAAATTCTCAACACAGGAGACGAGCTCACCTTCTGCACTATAGCGAGAAGAGAAGTGCTCGACATCACTGTCTGTTCCAGGCTGTTGATACAGGAGTGGAGTGGAGGGTCTCGACGTAGCCCTCGCTCTCAGACCACAGGCAGATCACCTTCAGGATAGCTAAGGCTAGGGGGAAGGAGGTCAAATTCAAGAACCCGAGGAGAACCAAGTGGGACTCTTATAGGGAAGACCTGGCCAGCAGTCTCAGAGGCTTCCCTAAGAGGCACGGGACAGAAGACAAACTGGAGACTTGTGTGGACTACTTGCAGAGGTCTCTGGTAAACGAAAGTAATTGCCCTAAAAGGGCGGTTACAAATAGTAGAGGAACTTCCTGGTGGACCCCTGGACTGCAGGGTCTCAGAGTGGCGGCTTTTAGGGTCTGGAAAAGAGCTAGGAACACGGGCCGCCAATCCGACTGGGAGCTCTCTAGGAGGGCATAAAAAGAGTATAGAGACTCTGTGGTTAGGGCAAAACTGGAAAGCTGGAGGAAGTTTTGCGAGGAAGTGGAAGGAATGCCCGAAAATGCAAGAATCTGCAGGATCCTCGCTAGGAACCCGGATGCGACCCTGGAAGCCATCGCACTCCCTGATGGGACGGTGGTGACTGGAGAGCGATGTCTGGAGCATCTACTGGAAGTGAACTTTCCGGGCTTCCATAGGGAGCCGGGAGAGCTATTTGCATATAAGGAGCCGGGCTCACTCAGAAGAGCCCGACAAGCGGATTGGCGAATGGCGGCCAAGATTGTCATGCCCGAGAAGGTCAAATGGGCAATTAACACCTTTAAGCCCTACAAGTCAGCGGGACCGGATGGCATCTTTCCGGCTCTTCTACAAGAGGGACTGGAACAGATTGTGGGCCCACTGACTCGAATCTTAAGAGCATGTATCGCGAGGAGCTACACACCCAGCGCATGGAAACTGGCCAGAGTAGTGTTTATCTCAAAGGCGGGAAGAACGAGCTACACCAAGGCAAAGGATTTCAGGCCAATTAGCCTAACATCGTTTCTCCTTAAGACATTGGAGAAGCTGATGGATGCGTATCTGAGGGAGACAACTCTGTGGAGGCATCCTCTCCATAAAAATCAGCACGCGTATCGTCCGGGCTTTTCCACCAAAACTGCTCTACATCAGACAGTAGCGTTTATTGAGGAGCAGCTGGAAAGGAAGGGCTACGCAGTGAGTGCTTTCTTGGACATAGAGGGCGCCTTTAACAACACACCGCACGAGGTAGTGTGTGAGGAAGCCGCCAGAAGAGGTGTCTCGATGAAGCTCGTCGAGTGGATCCGGGGCATGCTAGGAAAGCGTGTGATGACTTCGCTGGGAACTGCGAAGGTTTGTGGTTGGGTGGGAAGAGACTGTCCGCAAGGCGGAGTACTTTCCCCACTTTTATGGTGCCTGGTAGCAGACGGATTATTAAAAGCACTGGAGAATAGAGGCTTCACTGCACAAGGCTACGCGGATGACGTGGCAATACTTGTGCGAGGCCCCTTTCTAGAGACGCTTCTAGAGCTCATGCAGGGGGCACTGGAAGTCGTAGAAGAGTGGTGTCAGAGGACGGGTTTAGCGGTGAATTCACTGAAAACCGGTCTTACTGTCTTTACTCGCAAATACAAGGTGGGCACCATTGTGGGACCAACTCTTGGAGGAGTAAGGTTAGTTCCGACCGAATCAGTAAAATATCTGGGAGTTATCCTGGATAGGAAACTGCATTGGGAGGAGCACCTTTGTAAGCTGGTGCAAAAGCTTGTGCCCGTATTTTTGTTTGTGCAGAAAGACCTTTGGCCAGACTTGGGGTTTGAAACCGAGTATAATACACTGGATCTACACAGCCATACTTTGCCCCAGACTCACATACGCAGCCGTAGTATGGTGGACTAGGGTGCGAAAGAAAACAGCCAAAGTTGCGCTGGAGCATGTCAGGGCTCTGATTTTGAGAGGGGCCCTGGGTGCTATGGTTACAACATCAGTGGCGGCGATGGGCGTAATGTTCGGCATCGAGCCGTTTCACTAGGTGGTGGTGGCTGCTGCAGCAATGGCGGCATACCGTCTGAGATGCGAACTAAAATGGAAGAAGGGAGCCTGGCATACGAGGCTGCCAGAAGACGTTCTGTTGGATCCGATATTCGAGATGCGACAGGACAGAATACCTATTATTCGGGCTTCTGATAAGCGCTTTAAAGTGCATATACCGAGGCCGGAAAAGTGGGAAAAGGAAGGTGGAAACTTAGGGGCTCGAGTGCGTGGAGGGGATGTCTGGTATACGGACGGCTCCAAGACGGACACGGGCTCCGGGGCCGGTTTCTTTGGCAGTCGAGAGGGATGGAAGGAGAACATTTCTCTCGACAGTTATGCCACGGTATTCCAAGTGGAGATTGTGGCTATCCTAAGCTGTGCTCAGACCGTGTGGAGTAGGGAAGAAGCGGAAGAGCACATCAGAATTTGTACGGACAGCCAGGCGGCCATCAAGGCGCTGGGGGCTCCGACAATAACATCGCGGTTGATTCAGAAGTGCAGAGGCGTTCTGGACGAATTGGCGAGAGAAAGAGAAGTCATCGTTACCTAGATGCCTGGTCACTTAGGCATCCAGGGTAATGAATGTGCGGAGCAGCTGGCAAGAGCGGGTTCAGAAATAACGATGGTAGGACCGGGGCCGGCTCTGGGAATCCCCTTTTGTCTAGGAAGGGGGAAGATCAAAGAATGGTCCCGCAGAGAACATCTAAGACACTGGAGAGTGGAATCTGAGTCCAAATGTAAATAGGCTAAAGCTCTGATGGGAGATACTCCTAATAGGGAACTGGCTTGGAGCATAAGGGCTCTGAGTAGGAGAGATGCCAGGACAGCGGTACAGATACTGACGGGTCATGGCACCTTAAACTATCACATGTACAAGCTTGGGCGTAGCGCCTGGATACATCCAGGTGCCGGGCATGTGGAGACGACGAGGAAACAAGCCTTTATGTACTCCGCGACTGTCCTGCACATGCAGTGCTGAGACACAAGATGCTGGGCTCAGCACTACTTGGGCCCAAGCAGATCAGGGAGCTGCCGGTGAGGGATCTGATTCTCATTTGGAGAAAAACCGGTCTCTCATGAGTAAGCTTATGAGGGGAGGCACAATGGACAATGTCTGGGTGCCGTGGGCAGTGCTTCGAAAGAGGAACGCCCCCCCGTTATGTTATGTTATGTTATGATAAACTAAGTACAGCACTTACGATAGGGAACTTCTCGCCATATATTCAGTAATCAAATATTTCCGCCATCACTTGGAAGGACGTAAATTTACCATCAAAATGGATCACAAACCATTGATCTATGCCTTTAATCAAAAAAGTGCTAAAGCTTCACCACGCCAACTCCGACACCTAGATTTTATCGGACAATTTTCAACCGATATAGTACATATTTCTGGACCAGACAACATAGTCGCAGACGCTCTTTCAAGAATCGAATCCATCGTTACACTTGTTATCATCAGCATCGATGACATCGCCGACTCACAGGCAACCGACGAAGAACTTCAAGTTGCTTCGAAAAGATTACCTCGCTGCAATTACGACGTATGTCTTGTGGAGACAAAATTATCCATTGCGACATATTCGGTACCAACGTTCGACCATATATACCAGCTAATCTCCGGAAGAAAATCTTTGACATTGTTCATAGTCTGTCACATCCCAGTGCTAAAATAACCAAAAAACAAATTGCAAAAAAATTTGTGTGGCCAAATCTCAACAAGGACGTAACTGCATGGGCCAAGAAGTGTATTCCTTGTCAACGTAGTAAAATACACAGGCATAACAAGAGCATTCCTGAACACATTAAGACCCCTGATGAGCGATTCTACCAAGTACATCTTGACTTCATTGGTCCACTGCCAGAATCCAATGGCTACTAATACTGTCTAACGATGATCGATATACACGATTGCCGGAAGCCATTCCAATCAAGGATATCACCGACGACACCTTGGTATTTTACACACATTGGGTATGCAGTTTCGGCACACCTACCATTATAACAACTGACAGAGGAACCCAATTCGAATCCAAACTTTTCCAAGCCCTTATCAGAATGATTGGAGCTCACCGTACAAGAACCACCGCCTACCATCCACAATATAACGGCATGATAGAGCGATGGCATCAATCGCTAAAAGCTGCTATCATGTGCCACGCTCAACCACCAGGGAACTGGACGGAAATCCTGCCCACTGTTCTTCTCGGACTAAGGACCAGCCTTAAAGAAGGCATCAACGCATCAACAGCGGAGATGGTGTATGGCAAAACGCTAAGGATACCCGGCAAATTTTTCATCGGCAAAGAACCTTCGATTGAACCGCAAATATTCCTTGAAAAACACCGACTTCACATGCGGAAGATACGTTCTGCACCTAAAGCTCATCACAACAAAGCCAAGTCATTTGTACACAAAAACCTTCACACTTGCACTCACGTATTCGTCAAAACCGAAGGAAAAAAATTTCTCGAACCGCCATACAAAGGACCGTACAAGATCATCAAACAAATTTCAGAGCGAATTTTCAAATTTGATATCAATGGAGAACAGAAAACTGTCACCACCGAGCGAGTAAAACCAGCATTTTTAAAAAACGACGTCTCAGAGCAACAATCATCTACTCCATCGACTTTAGATTCAGCAAGTCGATCTATTCTAAAGACTTATCCAAGTGCCAAAGACAAAACAACTACAAAAAAAAGTGTTCAATTCGCGCTGTGATAGTTCTAAATAAGATTAACTAACAAAGTGCAATTATATCATAAGCGTAAACACAATTAATTCTAAGAACATTTAAGGATAACAATTTAAGATAATTACTTCTAATTTTTAACCAGTACAAATTTTATACTTAGTATCGTTTATTTAAATTTAATAACTATTACATTCAAAACCATGAAGTAAGATATAAGGAGACTCCACTCATGCTAGCCAGCCCGCGGAAAATGAGTCAAGTTTGCATCGAAAGTTTAAGTTCCGATTTTCGCCACTCGCAGCGCTTGTGAACTATTAAGTGTGCGCACAAAGTGCGTCGCAGCAAGAAGAAAGACATATATGTAAGAAGAATATCTTTCTTTCTGACAAATATACGCGAATTTATTTTGCAATGCCATCCTGTGGTATTGTGCCTGGTTGCAAAACTGGGTATATTAAGAGCGTGTATCAAAATAAAATCAAGAAGAAGCTGAGTTTGTTCAGACTACGTACAGTAAGTTCATAATAATTTTAATTAAATATGTCGAAAAAATATATATTAATGTATATGAATATATATTTTGTATTTAAAAAAAATATTTACAATAATTTAAAAAACATTTTTTATTCGCAGGATGATATGTTACTGAAGTGGCGGCAGGTAATCTATCGTCCTGAAACAAAACCATTATTAAAATCCCATGGCGTTTGTGAATTACATTTTAAAGAAGAGGACATTGAGAGATACTATGTTACTAAGTTGAGTAATGGAAGTACTTTTAGAATGCTAAAAGGTAAACCGAGTCTAAAAGTAGAAGCTGTGCCTTTTGTGTTACTAAATAGTGATGCAGGTACGAGTCGTCCTTTAACGCCTGTTTATAAGTGCGAACTTGCGGTTAAAGACCCCATCGCCGAAGAGCAGCTATTATTACAAAATAATAATAAATTAAATGTGGCAGACTTCGTCCCTGAAGCAGGACCATTATCATCGGTGCACAAATGTGTCTCGCCGTCTGTGGATGAGCGATTTAATATGGCACGATGTCAATATTTAACAGTAATTCTTCCATCAAAACTATGGTTTTCACAAGTCTTTTTCGATAAAATCATATGGGCCCAGTGGAGTGACCGATGCAATACTGCTTTCCGTGTAACATTGTTACAAGATATGAGTCTTGAAGTAAGGACAGTTGTTCATATGACATATACGTATGACAAAAATGTAATTGAAATACTTCTTGCAGATCTTCGTTGATGATAAACGGATATACGACGTGCCTACAGGACTAGAAAAAGTCGAAACCATCACCGACATGTCTGAGGTTCTTCAGCGAGTTTCAACTTTACTTGCTTGTAGTGGAGTAGGAGTAGGGACTGAAGGAAAGTGAGTATATTGCCATATGCGTTGTGTAATGTTTGAAATAGTCAAGCCAGTGAAGCCGTGTGCTTATTTCGTAGGACTATCGAGTGCAGCGGTTATGTACTGAAAAGAAAATATGGTACACCCGGTCCTCAAAAACGAAGATGCAAAGTATGCACAAAAAGACGAAATAAAGTGCTGAAAAAATCAAAACATCGTTCAGACGACATTAATACATCACTGAAAATAAAACATAAAAAAAGACTGAAGCAGTTAAAAAACGCTCTTAGACGTAATTTTAGATTGCGAGAGAAAGTAATTACAAAAGTCACCACTTGTAACTCGAAAATTGACAAAATTTATCTTATCTTATTTATTTATCTTCAGTATTTCCATTCTTTCAACAGGTAAAAAAGCTTCAGTTGAGAATGAAAAGCTTGCAACACCAATGTGCCAAAGCAAAAACGGAAGCTGTACAACAAGCTATAGCAAATTTGCCGGACAATCAAAAAACAGCAGTTCGTGCATGTTTATCTGCATCACGACTAAAGAGTTGTAAAGGTATGAGATATACTAACCAGTGGATTTTCAAATGCCTCCTTTTAAGAATAAAAAGCAGAAAAGCATATGAACATATTCGTAATCATAAGATCCTCGTTCTATCAAGTAGTACAACTCTGGATCGTTATATTACGAATATCAAAGGCACATATGGTAGTAGTATGTTGGCAGGTATGGGGCGTCACAACAAACCCCCACCACCTACCCCGTCTAGGCCCCCCGCAGTGGGTCTGGCGCCAAAACATTCCCCCACTCCTCTCTGACGGGATGGGAAAAAAAGATGGCGGCTACGGGTAAACAAGATGGCGGATGTTGACAAGATGGCGGAAATTTTATTTTTCCGAATTGAGAAAATCCAAACGGGGTTTGAACCTGGATCGCTGGATTTCTAGTCCTGGTACTAGTCTGCTGGGCTACCTATAGATCTAATGAAGCAAGTCGTAGGGTCGTATTTATAGTAGGCACGGGATGACGTAAATTTTTTTTTTTCGAATTGAGAAAATCCAAACCGGGTTCGAACCTGGATCGCTGGGTTTCTAGTCCTGGTCCTAGTCCGCATGGCTACCTATAGATCAAATGAAGTAAGTCGTAGGGTCGTATTTATAGCTATGGGGCCTGGCAGGTATGGGACCTGGCAGATATGGGGCATCAAAACAAACGACGTCACACAGTCGCCTCTAGTCCGTGAAGGGAAGGGACGTATTTATGGTGGGGCCGCGTCTACATGAGGTACCCCGGACTCTCTGGCAGGTATGGGGCATCAAAACAAACGACGCCACACAGTCGTTCCGTGAAGGAGCGTATTTATGGTGGAGCCGCGTCTATATGAGGTACCCCCGGACTCTCTGGCAGGTATGGGAAATGTAAACAAACATCGTCAAGGTGTCGGGCGGGGGATGATAGAACTACGACCTGTGAGCGGGCAAGTATGGGAGAACAAAAGAACGACGGAGTCAAACGGTGGATTCTGCTAGACCGATATTCGACGAGATAACGACTAAGGGGGTGCAAACGGTATAGAGCGTGCACCGGTATAGCGAACAAAAGAACGCAGCGACGAATGATCGGACGACTTTTAGTCTGATATTCGGCATGCTGGTTAAGGTGGCAGCGATATCTCGTGAACGGAGTGAGCCACCCCGCGGATTGAGCGAGCTGTATGGATTGGCGAGTGCAGGAACATGCGAAAAGAGGAAGGAAACAAACACGAGAAATGGAATACAAAATCGTTTATTTGGAATTTTTCTTAAGAATACATAATCGAACATTACAGTCAAAATATAAAAATATTTTATTTGACTTACTGAATACGTTTTAAAAATATTATTTCAAAGCATGCATCGAGAAATGTTAAATATATAAAATAAAATGTTTTATTTGAAATTTTTAAAAATACATCGTTAAATATTACAAGTACTTGTACGTACTTTCGTTTGCTCATTTTTTTTACAATGAAAAATTTTGCGATATAAGCATACTATCAGTCTGTCGTTTTGGTTATAATTATCGGTGAAAAGACGAAGAAATTGCTCAAGGTTGTAACCAAGAGACAAATAGTAAAGAAACACGTAACAATATTGGCCGCATGTTTGCGAAAAAAATCCTTGTAGCTGCACGGTGTTCCATCGATACGTGGTGGAATTTTGTCGAAATCGCAGATGAAATCGTTGATCCGAGTGTGGCGGGATTCCGTAACTATCGAAATATGTGCCGGTACCGTGCTCGTCGATGTAAAAGGCGACCCAGTGTCTTCCGGGGCGATCATGCTCGTCTGTATTAGCGACAATGGCTGTCGACCTCGTCCACACCCTCGGTAGTCTGTCGGCAGGATAGACTCCCGCATATCTGACATTGAGACGACGCAACGCGTGTAAGATTTCCAACGAATTCATTTGTCGCGTAACAAGACGGTGCTCGTGCGCGAGGAATTATTTGTATAGTAGAGTCGCAGGGGTTTATCTCCTTACGCGTAGAGTAGACGTTCTCGAATGATTGTGCGGAGATGGTTTGTTGAGCGTTGCTATCGG